TCGCGGCGCGGGTTCCGGGGAGAGCGGGGGCCGAGCTGCGCTATGGGGCCGCGCCTGACGAGCCACCCCCTGCTCCCCTGTCCCTTCTCCCCCTCTTCCCGCCGCCACCTGTTCGGGACCCCCCGCTGTGGGGCCGCTTCCCGCACCCCCCCGCTCCTTGGCGCAGATGCTCCCGTCGCTTCCCGGCCGCCGGAGCAAGATGCGGAGCAAGGAGGTGGCTGCTGCTTTCCATGGAGAAAACAATTCCCCTTTTTTCCCCCCGCCCGCACTCCCCCTGCCATGGACACAGGCCCCCTGCAAGGTGGCCCGGCCACCAGGGAGATGGGGGTACGAGGTGGCTCCAAGGCCAGGGCATGGGGTGGCCGCAGTCCCTGCCACCCGCAGCACAGAACAGGACTCGCAGTAGGGACGACATGTGGCCGCCCAGTGCACGGGGAGGGGAGGACGAGGAGAGTTTGGACACCCCCCCCCCCAAAAAAAAAAAAAAAGAAAAAAAAAAAAAGAAAGGGAGGGAAAAGTTGGCGTGGGAGCCACCCCGAGCGGCGTTCCTGGGTGTGGAGGCGCCGCCTCCCCCTGCTTCCAAGGCACGTGCCACCCTGCTGGCTGCGTACCCCGTTTTGGGGCTCTGCCTCCAGTGCTGCGTGTCCTTGTCCTCCCAAGGCTGTCACCGGCCACGGCAGAGCCCTGAGTGGAGCCGGGTGGGAAGATGGCCGAGAAACTGGTGTCTGGAGACCTGTTCCTGAGGAAGACCCGGGACTCAGTGTCCTCCCTGGACTCGGATAAGCTGGCGCCCATCTCACCTGAGGCAGGAGGAGAGGAGTCATCTGACAGCGAGGGTGAGCAGGAGGACAGTTCCCACAAGCTCATCCGCAAGGTGTCCACATCTGGGCAGATGAGGAGCAAGGTCAGTGGCGCAAGCTCGGCGTGGGAGGGCCCATCTTGTGCGTGGGGTCCTGTGGGGGCCACCGAGCTCGTGGGTTGCCTTCACACAGCCCTGGGGTGGAAATCACTGGGACATGTTTGCTTATTGCTTGCAACCCTGGAAAACCCCTCGCAGGGCTGGGGAAGAGCCAGGAGGGCTCTGAGCCCTGCTAGTGAGGCTACACGTCTTGGCGAGGGCACGGACACGGTGCTGGAAACCCGCTGGTCCCAGGGGACTTTCAAAATATATGGAGTGCCAGCTGTACAAGTGAGCACAACAAAATGGCCAGGCCCCTTCTGCAAAAAGGCCTGGAAGGCTGTTATTTTGGAGTTGTAAAAATGAGGTGACTATGAAGATGGAGAAGTGAGAAGAGCTTATGAGCCATGGTGGCTCATAAGGCGCCTGTGTTGGCAAGAGGGTCTGGGGCCGATGCAGGGAGCAAATGGGTGCCAGGCTCTCAGTGACATGAAGGGCAGGTGGCCTTTTGAAGCCGCCTCAGGGTTTCCCAGAGCCTGGAGCTGGAAGAGCCGGTGATGGCACCAGGGAAGTGTATCCATGGTGTTTCAAGCTAGCCACGGCCTAAGTGGTGGCAGTGCCTCACCTACCCACGGCCACTCTCGGTACTGCTGCTGTCAGCCCTGTTGTACCGTCCCATGCCTGTCGGTCACTCGCGCGGGGTGGGCTGTGCTGGAGCAAGGAGCGAGGGGAGCACCGTGGGCTCAGCCGCCCTCGCGCCAGCTCCCGGGGCAGCCGCTCGGCTGGCCGGGTGTCACCGGGCGCCAAGGGATGCAGCGGAGGAAGGTGCCAGGGAGGCTCCGGGCAGGGTGGGCAGTGAGGGCTTGTCTGGGGCTGGGGCCGGCCCTGGGCTCAGCCCCTCGCACGCTGGCTCCCCTTTGCTGCGCCGAGCCTGGTGTGTTGGCACCGAGGGCCAAAGGGCAGTTTGCTGGATGTGCGGAAGTCGCACGCCCCAGGCTGGAGACATTTCCCAGCACGGCAATGGCGGAGGCTCTTGAGGAGCCTTCCAGGATGCCAGGGGCTCTGCACAAGGGATGTGCCTCAGTTTCCCCATCTCTGCACTGGGATGGGCACCTCCTCCCCCTCCCCCCGGCTCCGGCTGCCAGGTTGGTGCTGGCAGTCACGCTGGGGCACGGGCACTGTTGGAGATGCAGGGCAGGACGGTGGAAGGAGTTGGGCTGGTACACGCGTTGTCGGGTGGGTGAGGACCTGCCCTGGCTTGGGGATGGCTTGTCAAGAGTGGGTATCCACATGGGACACCTTGTCCTCATGGGATACCGCCCCTCCCCCCGGCTCCGGCTGCCAGGTTGGTGCTGGCAGTCACGCTGGGGCACGGGCACTGTTGGAGATGCAGGGCAGGACGGTGGAAGGAGTTGGGCTGGTACACGCGTTGTCGGGTGGGTGAGGACCTGCCCTGGCTTGGGGATGGCTTGTCAAGAGTGGGTATCCACATGGGACACCTTGTCCTCATGGGATACCGTGTCCCCCTGCTCCCTTCGCTCTCAGGGCTGAGCCCGTGGTGCCAGCGGGTGCAGCTCCGGCGGAGGCTGTGGCAGATCCAGGCCGGCCGGCAGTGATTATCCATGCAGGAGGTGATGCCGCACGGCGGCGGCGCGGTGCCGGGGGAGGCAGGCAGCGTGATGGATGGGCGGGCGGAAAGGATGCCGCTGGGCTCGTGGCTGGGAGAGGGGCACTGCCGGGGCGGGATGTGTGCAGGGCCGGTGGGCGGCTGCAGTGGGGCCGCCCTGGCAGGGGGGGGGGGCTGGGGGGGGG